TGCTGACAGCAAGGACCCGAAAGGGATTCACCGGCACGACGCAATACAAGCTTTGGTTTGTCACTCCTGGCCGAGGCAATGGAGAGCCACTACCGTAGTCGTAGGAGATTTCGGAAAGCGCTGCAAGTAGCGGCCTCCGAGCAGCAAGCCTGGGCAGGCGACGTCGAAGGCTGAAGCCACTGTCGAGGCCAGGAGCTCCATTTCCTCCCTCGTCTCATCACACAGCTTGGGTGGGAAGGTACGGCGAACTCAGCTAGCAGCCAGCAGCCCCAAAGGCAGCAATGACACAACGAATTGAGGAGCAATACCCGTCTAAAGTCCGAAAGGCACGGTCCACTCGCAAGTAAAAGCAGATGAGAGCTTCAAGCAGGTGTCCTCGTGTCCTTGCCCTGTTCTACGCGTATTTTAGTTAACCCAGCAGTACGCCCAGTCGACTTGATCCCGCCAAAGGAGGACTCAAAAGTAGCTTCGGATTACCCAGTTCTCTCCAGTGAGAGGCGGACGTCGCGGCAAAGGCATCGTCCGGCGGTAAGGCCAGAGCATGCAAAGCATGGGCTCACTTCAGGGCCACTGCTCACTTGATACGGGCACGTCCTTGGGCAGTCGCTTTGGGCCTCTGCCATATACAGTAAAGAAGCCACATTTCGTTTCGCTTTGTTTGAGTTTCTCGGATGAGTTTTGACTCGGTTTCGGTTCGCGCGGTTCGCTGCGATTCTTCTTGCGGTTCGGTACGGTTCGATTCAGAAAACCCATGCCTCCATCCACCAGCCCCCCTCCATCCAACGCCTCCATCAGCCATCAGCCCATCCAGCAGCCATCCCTGATGCCCGCCTTCCTTCACCCTCCATCCAACCGTCCATGCAGCCCTCCATCCACCAGCCCTTCTCCAACTTCCATCCAAGCTTTTGCGCCCCATCCAACCCCCCCTCCATCCTTGCGTCCTGGTTGGGTGGTTGGATGGAGGGGCGTTGGATGGAGGGGGATGTTTGGATGGAGGCCGGAAGGGGTCGGGTGCAGGGTGGTGGCAGAGGAGGAGATGTTTGGACGAAGGACAGCTGGATAAAAGATGTTTGGATGGAGGGAGGTGCGTGCGTGGAGATGCTGGATGGAGGGTCACTGGGATGGGTGGCTCATGTTTGGATGGAGGGAAGAAGGTTGCTACGGATGGAAAGCGTTGGAGGGAGGTGACTGGACGGAGGGGGGCTGGATGAAGGGTGCCTGGATGATGGAGGTGAAAGGATGCGGAGGGGGCTGGATGGAGGCAGAGGAGGGCTGGCTGAAAGGGGTTTGGATAGAGGGTGGGTGGAGGGTTTTGGATGTGCCTGGAGCTTGGATGGAGGGCGGCAGGATGGAGGGATGGAGTGGAAACGGGGTTCGATGTCGTGTGTCGGTTCAGCGGTTCGCGGTTTTTGGGTGGACGGTTCCTGGCGATTCGGTTCCGCTGTTTGAATTGGTTACGTTCGCGGCCTTCCTGGAAACAGGGAGCAAACCGCTCGAAAGGGACAAGAGGATTTGAGAAACAAGAAGCAAACCGCTCGACAGGGATTAGAGGATTAGAGTTTAGAGGATGTGAGAAACTGGAAGCAAACCGCTCGAAAGGGACTAAAGGATTTGAGAAACAGGAAGCCAATCGCTCGAAAGGGACTAGAGGATTTGAGAAATAGCAGGCAAACCGATGAAGAGGGACTAGAGGATGTAAGAAACGGGAATCGAAAGGGACTAGAGGATTTGAGAAACGGGAAGCAAACCGCTCGAAAGGACTGGAAGCAAACCGCTCGAAAAGGATTGAGGGGATTGGAGAAACAGGAATCAAACCGCTCGCAAGGGACTAGAGGACTTGAGAAACAGGACGCAATCCGGTCGAAAGGGACCAGAGGATTTGGACAACACGACGCATACCGCGCGAAAGGGACTGGAGGATTCGAGAAACACGAAGGAAACCGCTCGAGAGCGCCTAGAGGATGTGTTGAGAATCTTGGAGCAAACCGCTCGAAAGGGACTAGAGGATTCGAGAAACAGGAAGCAAATCGCTCGAAAGGGACTGGAGGGTTTGAGAAACAGGAAGCAAACCGCTCGAAAGGGACTAGGGGATATGAGCAACGGGAAGCAAACCGCTGGAGAGGGACAAGAGGATTTGAGAAACAGGACACAAACTGTTCGAAAGGGACTAGAGGAATTCGGAACTGGAGGCAAACCGCCCGAGAGGGACTAGAGGATTTGAGAAGCGGGAAACAAACCGCGCGAAAGGGACTAGTGGATTTGAAAAACAGGAAGCAAACTGCTCGAAAGGGACTAGATGAGCAACAGGACGCAGAAAAACAGGAAACAACCTCGAGGGTTTGTGAGAAACAGGAAGCAAGCCGCTCGAAGGGGACGAGAGGATTTGAGAAGCAGTGAGCAAATCGCTCGAACAGGACTAGAGTGTTTGAGTAACAGGAAGCAAACCGATTGAAAGGTACTAGAGGATCTGACAAACGGGAATTAAACCGCTCGAAAAGGATTGAGGTGATTTGAGAAACAGGAAGCAAAACCGCTCGAAGGGAACGAGAAGATTTGAGAAACAGAAAGCAAACCGCCCGAAAGGGACTAGACTTGATTTGAGAAACAGGAAGCAAGCGGTTCGAAAGGGATTAGGGGATTTGAGAAACAGGGAGCAAACCGCTCGAAAAGGGGTCGAGGATTTGAAAAGCAGGAAGCAAACCGCCCGAAAGGGACTAGACTTGATTTGAGAAACAGGAAGCAAACGGTTCGAAAGGGATTAGGGGATTTGAGAAACAGGGAGCAAACCGCTCGAAAAGGGGTCGAGGATTTGAAAAGCAGGAAGCAAACCGCCCGAAAGGGACTAGACTTGATTTGAGAAACAGGGAGCAAACCGCTCGAAAAGGGGTCGAGGATTTGAAAAGCAGGAAGCAAACCGCCCGAAAGGGACTAGACTTGATTTGAGAAAAAGGAAGCAAACGGTTCGAAAGGGATTAGGGGATTTGAGAAACAGGGAGCAAACCGCTCGAAAAGGGGTCGAGGATTTGAAAAGCAGGAAGCAAACCGCCCGAAAGGGACTAGACTTGATTTGAGAAAAAGGAAGCAAACGGTTCGAAAGGGATTAGGGGATTTGAGAAACAGGGAGCAAACCGCTCGAAAAGGGGTCGAGGATTTGAAAAGCAGGAAGCAAACCGCCCGAAAGGGAATAGACTTGATTTGAGAAAAAGGAAGCAAACGGTTCGAAAGGGATTAGGGGATTTGACAAACAGGGAGCAAACCGCTCGAAAAGGGGTCGAGGATTTGAAAAGCAGGAAGCAAACCACCCGAAAGGGACTAGACTTGATTTGAGAAAAAGGAAGCAAACGGTTCGAAAGGGATTAGGGGATTTGAGAAACAGGGAGCAAACCGCTCGAAAAGGGGTCGAGGATTTGAAAAGCAGGAAGCAAACCGCCCGAAAGGGACTAGACTTGATTTGAGAAACAGGAAGCAAACGGTTCGAAAGGGATTAGGGGATTTGGGAAACAGGGAGCAAACCGCTCGAAGGGGAGTAGAGGAGAAAGAGGAAGCAAGCCGCTCGAAAGCGACTAGAGGATAAACAGGAAGCTAATCGCTCGAAGGGGACTAGAGGATTTGAGAGCAGGAAGTAAACCGCTCGAGCGGACTGAGGCTATGAGAAACGGGAAGCAAACCGCTCGAGAGGGACTAGATTTGATTTCAGAAGCAGGACGTTCAGAAACAGGAAGCACACTGCTCGAAAGGGATAAGATCGAGGATTTGAGAAAGAGGAAGCAAACCTTTTGAAGGGGACTAGAGGGTTTGAGAAACAGTTTGTGAATCCCGTGGCTTGCTGTTGCAGGAAGTCTCCAGCGCAGCTTGGCCGCACAAGGATGTGAGGCCAAGATGGCTCAGCTGAGGCAGGCTCCTCTGCACTGAAGGCGAGTTCTTGTGCAAATGCAAGCACGAGATCTGTTGATTACTATTCCTTCCCGAGGCTGCAAAAGTCCTCGACGCTTGTCTGGAATTTGTGGCTGGCTAGACAGCTAACCTGGACCTTCAGATTACTGCCCGTGGTGAGTACATGTATGCCATGCGGAAGCTTAGCTGAGTGCTTGCCCGCCGCCGGATCGCAAGACACAGCTCGTATTGACCAGTGCCACGTTTCCACATACCCGTGTTGGGCCGTAGGCTGTAGCCGACTTCGTCGAAAGAGCCGCGAGCCTCCAGGTCTAGTTTCAGGGGGTCTTCAGATGTTTTCAGTGCAAACAAAAAACCGGACGAGGCAGCCATAAACCCGGGCCTTTCCTGCCTTCAGGATGAAGTCTTCCAAGAACTTGCCGGCCACTGGGACTTTTTTTCTTCCGCGGTCTGAGTCGTATTGCTGGGGCAGCCAAGGGATAAAGTTCTCAAAAGAGCCCTAATGAGGCTGAATGCCTGGATCAGGTCAAGTAAGCATGCTTGCACGCGCAGAAGGATGTGATGGCCCGCATGCATCTAAAAGTATATTCCTACGGTTTTTTGATGGTCAAGTGTTTCATAAAGTGACCACCTCATTCTACAGGTCACAGCTGCTCAACACTTGCAAACGAGGAAAGTTCCTTCCCTTGGAGGTGACTGCGGCGTCGTGGCAGTGAAGAGCGGCCACACCTGGAAGAACACTTCGCAACCGACGCTGCAGCCGAGTCAGTGCATCTCAACTGCACTGCAGCAAAGTGGACTGCAGCACTGGGTTACTTTTGAAGCCATGGATGGCGGCTCGGGCCTACGATTGTTTTTTTGCTGCATAGCTCTCTACCATACCACACCTGCACATCGGGCAATGCCGGGAATGCTGAGACACTTGTTCATCGAAGCTTTCTGCTGCCAGCTCGTCAGCTAGACATTGTAAGTGTCAGCTCAATATGGCTTTACGTATTCTGCTCTCTTTCGACTGAGCTCCATGCTCCAGTCCGGAGGCCAGATGTTTGCGATGCTTGCTAGGCCACAAAAGGTTGTCCACAAGCTGTACATTGAGCTTTCGGCAGATGCAGTGTCCAGACGCCGCTGGGATGTATTCAGTGTCTTAAGTTCGAATCCGAGTCTTGCACTGATCCTGCGAGCGGCAGTGGTTGCCAATTCGATCCATATCAGGGGCATGTCCACACGATGTCACCATGCACGGCCAAAAGTGCTGACGTGCAATGTGGCAGCTACAAGGAATGTCCATTTTTGGCTCCTGATCCGTGTCTTGACCGCAGAGAGATAGACCACGAGGTTCCGCAAGGTAGCTGTCGGAACGGTGACGGATGCTCAGGGCCAGCAACAGATACCAGTGACAACGATACGACCGAACACGTGGTTGAAGGGGCCGGCGAGCAGTCAGAAGTTACGGGGCCAAGGAACCACAAGATGGTCGCATGCATTATCTTTGTCTTTATCTCTCTCTCTCTCTCTCTCTCTCTCTCTCTTTCCGTCGTCCTTCTTCGATCTCCTTCGTTGGCACACCCACATGTCACATGCTTCGTTCTGGCGGCGCGAAACCCATCGACGGGTTCCTTTCAAGATGCCTCTCGAGCAGCCGTATCAAAAGAAGCCAAGCCTAGAGTAGGAACGCGGAGCGACGTTTGTGTTGGCGCCGCCCAGGTTTTTCCCATGCATGTTCAGCTGCCGCGCGAAAGCGCGCTGCTCCGAAAGCCCGTGGCCCAGTTGGGACGTAATAGCAATGCACTCGTGGCACTCGCCGATGCATGCTGGGGGTTTGCATGTGCATGGTATCCCACGTCGGCTCGCGTGGCTGTCAAAGCCGCCTTTGGTCGGCGGACAATTCTTGTCGTTCTCGTTTGGATTCCCCGCTCATCACGACAGGTGCCGTGCCAATCGGGGTCTGTCAAACCAGCAGAGGGGTCAGCCACAGGCGAGTTTATGCTGCGCCTTTATCCGATTTCTGGCCCCCCAGCAGTGACAGTAACATTGTGTGGGACCTGCACAGCCTTGGAGTGCAGGGTGATGGTGCCGCTGCTGGTTTGTGTGGCAACTCTCAGGTAATCTGAACACTCCCTTTCCTGCCAGGGCCTCAGCCACACCTTGTCAAGGAGGGAGAGAGACAGAGATACAGACAAGGGCATCAACGGGACCGAAAGGCACCAGTGCTTGTAGAGCAGCCAATAGCAGCAGCATTCGGTCAGAGTGTCAGACAAAGCAGCACGTTTTGAAGGCGTCCCCAAATTGAATCAGTGTTCGGCAGAGACAACGTGGTCTTCCGTCTTTTTACTGGAAACAGCATTTCGAATCACTTGCGACAGAGACCAAAGCGCAGCGACCAAAGTTGCTCGAAAGGGCCTCGGTGTTCGTATCTGAGAAGAAGAGTTTTCCGCCGCTGACAAAAGGTGAGGAAGCGCAGCAACTTGCTTGATAAACCGTTCAAACTTAACTAGTACAGGTGGGAAAAAGGAGCCAACAAATCGAAAGGGCTCAGAGCCTTTGAGACATGAGAAAGACACCCACCGACAAAGCCCAAAGGCTCTACATATCCAGTATTCTAGTGGGTGCAGCGTCTACATTGTCCACACTGCTGGAATCCTCCGGGCGGGTCCAGTTCCCAGAGCTTCCAAGCATCGCTGAAGATGCCAAGGACGAGAAGTACCTCCTCTGCTCCGCTTGCTCCGTGGCAGGTCGCTCGGGGGGCGCTTTGTCCTCGCTCTCTATTCAAAGTGCACTGCCTTACCTACAACAAAAAGTGCCTTCAAATCAAGAAGCCTCGAGATGCTGGCTCCGCGTTGCACACGGTTCTGAGGGCTGGCCTGATCATATTGTGTCACAGTCACGGGAAGGGCCAACTGGAGAGCGCAGGCTGCAAAGTTTGCTCTGATGCTGGCACCTGCGACGAGTGCCACGACGGCTTCGCAGAAATGGTGCCCGGACGAAATGCAGAGCGGCTGAGGTTTTGGTATTGTAGTCTCGGTGGTTCGAGGACGGGGGCTGCATTTTGGCCAGCACGGTCGGGCTGAACTCCGCTCCTGCGCTGCACTGGATCGGGATTCTGATCGTCAGCTGTGGAGTTGCGATCCTTGGCAGTTTGTCGCGAGCCTAGGCGATGGGGGCAGCGGGCTGAGCTGCTCCAGCCACTGCCAGCAGGGAGAAAGCTCATAGAAGCCGAGAAGCTCTTCGTGGCACATGCCGCGAGTCGCAACTCTCAGGTCGTGCTTTACGTTCTGATTGGTCTGATTGTCTTGCTCGTCCTCATGGCCTTCGGCTACTGCCTCTCTGGCTCCAGGACTCTGCACATGCCCTGATGTCATGTGAGATCCCTGGTACTTGATGATTTCGACGGTCGATGTGAGATCCCGCAGCGCTTTACGAGGAGCCCCAATGCAGAGCACAACCAGAGATCCATCGATGCGGGGCGAAAACACCGGCATCTCTCGAAGGCCTCGGTCCGATCTTTTTTGGGCTCCGGCGCCATGCCCCTTGTACCCCTTCAGCCCTCGCCTTTCCCTCCCTGTCTCTCTCTTTTTATGGAGTTCTGAGACCAGTCTGGGGTGCCAGTCCAAGCTGTTTGCATGTCAGGTGAATCGCTGGGACCTCTTCGGAAAGACACCAAGGACCAAGTACCCGCTTGCAGCACCTCGTGCAGCATGTAGCGGCATTACCACCGAAGGCTTTGCAATTCAGGTGTTGAGGGGTAAACGGGGGTCAACACTGTCATTCCCAACTGGTCCCAAATCCGGCATCGCAAACGAAGAGTCATGTTTGCACCTAAACCTTGAAGCCAACAAAAGCCCACAGATCTTTCGAGACTCCAGAGCCTAAACCCGGCATCTTGCGATGCGGGAATCAGAAACTGCCAAATGCTCACTACTCCCGAGGTGTCCAACTCGGAGAACATCATGGGCATGGGCATTGGCCTTTTCTACAATGGCCCCCTGGCCCTCGAACTCAGAGTCTTCGGCCCGCGCGCCTGAGCAAGACTCGTACAACCGGAAGCTGTTGAGCCGGACTGAGAATGCAGGTTGTCTACATTAGGAATTATCATTATGATGTGGGGAACAACACCCCTACCCGCCCGATCGCGTCCCGTTTTGCAAGGTATTCGTTTCATGGTCGTCGTCGGAGTGTTGACGACCCTTTCGTCATACATTGTCGCGGCACCTTGGTCGCATTGGTGAAACACTCGGAGTGGAGAGGAGGAGCAGTCAAAGTCCTTCGTGAAGGCATCCCTGCCTCGAAGATGAAATGTAGCGGTCGGGCGTCTAGTGCCACGAAGATCGAAGACCTTGCGCTCGCCGGATATCGCTTTGGCTGTAGATGGTTTGCAGGATGTCTTAGTAAGTAGGGTTATAAATGCCCTAATTGGGGTTATAAGTAATTATAGGTATAGCTACCTCATTTATAAGCCTCGTTACTAAGTCCCATGTGGTGTTTTTCGCTCTGAAGCTGAACCCAAGGGAAGTGTAACAAGTAGCGCCCGCATTTCTGGGCCTTCTGAGGCCTGGACCAAAGCAAGCATGCGTCAAAGGACGGCATCGCAAATCATGCATCGGTGCTTCTTTCAATTGAAGAACACGTAGCTAAGCATCCGAATCCTGTCGAAGCGAATGCGGACGCGGAGCCAATGGGTGAAAGGTGTGTGCTGTCTTTCCATGCTGGACCCCGTTTGTTTTCGCCTGCAGCGATTGAATGACCGTCCGGGTTGTTTCGATTAGAATCGGCATCGACATGAAATAGGATCGAGAACTCTACACCTGGGACCGGAGGCAGCAGGTGCGTGTCGTTTTGTGTCTTCCTAAGGATTCCGGCGGCCTTTATGAGATCATGCAAAGCCCTGATTTCACCAGACTGGACATGCTGCTCAAGGCCGAGATTCAGTGCTTCTCGGGAGACGCAGCCAAAAAGCCCTTGGTGTTTAGGAAAGGTCTGCATTCTCAACTTCGGCTCGCTCTAAGATGCCTGTGGGGAGTGATGGGACTTGTGAGAGGAGCCTTGTGGCACAAACCACTCCGCCTGATAAGTCAAGGTACCTCTACCAGTCGCCGTCATAGTAAGCGATGCAGAGACTTAGGCATTGAAGTTTTGGAATGCAAGACGCCCAGCCTATTGCCCAGATGTCGTATCAACTGCGAGCGACACCTCAAACAACGAGCAACGAGTGTTTGGCATAGAGCATAGCAGCAGAATCCGTGCGTCTCGTCCTGGTCTTGTCATCTGTCTCCGAAGGCCGAAAACTGGCCGGAGAGCCTTCAAACAGCGAAAGATAATCCCGGACTTAGGCTCATTGATATATACTGTTAGTCGAAATTGCAGACGGAGAGGAATCAGACACCGCCAAACTTGATTGAAGTATCTTCCTTGTGGGGTTCTCTATGAGTTCCACCGTTTGGCGCCTGCAGCCAGGCGTTGATGACGACCAAGATGAAGAACAACATCATTCCGGCAGTTGTCCTTTCGCCTATGACGTGTCTTGGCCCTGCACACAGTGCCTCCACGTTTCGGGCTACTCCAAAGTCTCGTGAGCAAATGCTGCATTGGCCCGCTTCGTCTGAGGAGCTGCAGCACAACCACACCCGAGGGTATCCAAGCGACGCTTCGCACGCCATACAGACTTCAGTCCTTCAGGTGTCAGTGTCAGCATGTCCCGCTGTGCGACCCCTCCTGCGATCGAGCATGCGCGGCACTCTCGCACAGGCCTCTATTTGCATCCCCAAGCGCTCCGAATCCTGGGTCAGCTGGAGGTGTTGAGGTACTCGTAGTGTTGGCTGCATAGGAGAGTCGAAACCCCCGAGCCTTGTAGCCGTGTAACCAGTGAACAAAGTCATGTTCAGTTCCGCGGAAGATTGAACAGGACCCTAGCCCAGCACCCCCGGCTTCAGCACAGCAAGAAGAAGAGCAATAACAACATCGCAGCTTGTTAAGACCGGGCAGCGGGTAAGGCTGGGGGGCTCAGAGTCTAAATCATGCAGGCTGCACATGACTCAGATTGTGAGCACATCCGCAACTGGATTCAACAGCCGACGGTTTCCGAAACCACTGTGTAGTCACTGCCCCAAAGCAGGCCTGTAGCCCATAGCTGTCCACGCGATGGGACCTGCTGTAAAGCCTATACATGCCAAAGGTCAGACTCTGAATCTGAGGGCTTGTCTGATTGGGAGCTGCTTGCGTAAAGGCCGAGAAGCCAAGAGTCTGAGGTCCAGATGTCAGGGCGGGGGTGCAGAAGTAACGCGATACGCAGGAGAATGCAGCCTGTCAAGTCTTGTATACGATATTCTGAACCAGCACTTCGGCTGCAAAACAGACTCCAGCAGCCAAAAAGCACGACGATGCAAGTAGCAACATAAGAGTGGGATGACGGCAAAGGCTGACTTGAAAAAGCTGCATCTCCATGTGGTCTTGCGGGAGTTTCAGAAGATATAAGCGACCCACCGGCATCTCTATCAATCGATTCAATAACCCTGTTAAGGTACCTCCTACACAAAGACTGTCTCACACCCAGGAAGCTTCAGTCTGTCGCGGCATCACGCATCTTGGCTTGCTCGGATGACTGTAGAGGCAGCCCTCCGAAACCCTACGCCCTTTGTCCCCCGGGCAATCAGGAGGAGAGAAAGGGAGTTCCAGACAGTAATGGCTACGGCTACGGTTCATGTTCACTGGGCCAATGAGTCTGGAGTCTGGTTGCTGTGATACTGTGTTGCGCAGAAATCTCGCCTGACCTCGTCGAGTGCGAGAGACAAAAAAAGGCTACGGCTCCGGCTCAAAGCCCAAGTATTCTAGGTTTTCGGACATTCTCACCAGTTGCCCTGTACATCTGGGACGGACTGCACCCGGACGATTCCGGCCATGTGGCATCGCTTCATGCATGCGGTGCATTTGCCCTCGTTATGTGCCGGTGGAGCACTCGTTGGCACCGTCTTCTTGGGACTGTTCTTACGCACAAGCCCTCCCTGGGTCTTGCAGGGGCTCATGGCAGCGGAGATCAAGCGAACTGCGTGGGATGCGCAGAAGCGCAAGAAGGAGCTCGAGGCACGCCCTCAAAGGCGCAGAGCGGTGCGTTTGTACCTCATCAGGCACGCGCAGAGCATTGCCAACCAGAACGCGGATCTCGTCGGCGGCCGCGATGTGATGACACCTCTTACTGAAACTGGAGAGACGCAGGCCAAACTGCTGGGACAGCGTTTAAAGAGCGAGGGAGTAGCATTCGACCGCATCTTCGCATCCCACGCAGTTCGGGCGAGAAGAACTGCCGAGCTTGCCTCGGCCGAGCTCGGCTTCAATGGAAACATCGAGGAGGAGCCCAGAGTTGTTGAGTTCTGCCAGGGGGACCTCGAGAAGAAGCGACGCGTGGACGTCTATGCAGAAGGTGGCCCTGTCAAGCGAGGAATACGCAGAGACGGCAACCTTTTCTATCGACCGCCGGGTTGGTCTCCTGAAGGTGTCCGCGGCGAGTCGGCTTGGGACACTGAGGTACGCTACACTCAGTTCATCGATGAGCTCTTAGACGTGGCTGGAGAGGAGGATACTGGACGTCAAGAGCTTGTGGTGGCAATCTTCACCCACGGCATGGCGCTCAAAAGCTTCGTTCGCGGAGCCATTTCCGCTGCGCCCTCTTTTTCTGTGACGGCCCAGATTGACAACACATCAATTACAGAGATGCGGTACGTACCCCATAAGATGGATGAGCTTGGAGGCTGGTCTTTGGTGCGCTTCAACGATACCTCCCATCTGCGGGCAGACTCTGTTAAGCGTGACCATTAAGACGACGCGGCGCCCTTGATCTGTTGCGGTATACTGCCGCATGAGTCCAAAGATGGTCCCCTTGATTGAGTAGAAGGATCTCTTCAAAATGATCATAGAAGGAAGCTCTGGAAGATTCGTGCACCCGCCGCGGAACAAGTCAAAAAAGTGATGCAGGCCGCAGGCAGTCATGGCTGTCAGTGCCCCACCCGCTCCCACCCAAGCCGAGCGAGATTTTGAGACAGGTGTTGGTTGTGATGTTGTAGCATCTGAGGCGCGCTGGCTTTCGGCGTCCTGTTCCTCTGCAAGCATTTGCGATAGCACCTGCTGCTTTAGGGCGATCGGTTCTGGTAACAGACTTGCCGAACTTCAGTCTTGGGTGGCTCTAGGTTTGCGCGTTAGAAGAAAGACAAGTCCAGGGCCGAACGTTGCAGGTATGTGGGGCTGCTCGCAAGCTCGCTGTACTTCGTGGCTGCTCAAAAGAGATTTGCAAAAAGGCCAGCGTGAGGGCCTTTGAGATGCCAGTGATAGTCTCACTTGTCGATGAGGATGCACTGACAATTTCGGTAAACACGACGTAGCAGTCGTTAACAGACGAGACGAAGGGTGCCGTTTCATGGTCTTCCTGCGACACAGATAGTGGCGGAATGAGAGCAAGTTTGCAACCCAGCGCTGTTCTGGTAGCATTGCTTTGTCGGCTGCCTCCCACCTGTGGCCTGTGGCGAGGTTCGATGAAGAGAGCACCAGCATGAGCGACTTCTGCGTGCTGCTAAAAGGCCAACATGATTTTGGTGTACACACACTTACCATTTTTAGCCGAGGGCGTTTGCACTGCAGTTGTACCTGCCGCATGCCCAATCAGGCCTTCCGACGGACTTGACAGACGAGGCCGGCAGAGAATCACCGACATAGAAATGAGACCACAGGAGTCGTTGTGATTGTTTGAAGGTGGCTTTGAAGAAGTGGGCAGAAGCACAACTCGCACAGTGCCCTGGCACGCACCCGGGGAAGCTGGAATCCCGGTTCTTTCTGACTTGAGCAGAAGGATCCCCATTGTTCGTTGATGGCTCTTGCCTGCATCCTTGCCCTCTCCTTGTTTGAGTGTCCGAGTAGCCTCTGCGCGTAGCCATGCAACAACCACCTCAAGCCCCTGGCATTGGGAGGAGCAGGATCGACAGCGAGGTCCAAGGTGTGAGCACCTCGCCTGCAGCCAAAGCTTCGTGATGCGGCTAGCCTCCCACTCTGCAGCCCACAGAACGCCCTACGTCAGAACTTCCATTTCTGGCCTTACCCTGGGCTGGGAAAATTCAAAGGAACGGGGGTGGAGTTGGCGTGAAGCCTCAGGGTTGAACTTGGAGCTCAGAGCTTCGAGCCGTGAGATGTGAAGTCCTTGCCAGGCATTGGCTACGACTTCGGAGGTGGGCAGATTTAGACTGGCTTTGGGATCTCCTAGAAGCAAGTCCTCCTTCCGATGAAAACCTTTCAGAGAGCAGTCGGCAGCAGAGAGACTTGTTGGCCTTCGAAGAGTCGGCGAAGCGCCTCGGGGCGCCGCTCGCCTCTGGTCGTATCGTCGCCTCGCGAGGCGATGAGGCGCTGAAATGGGAGGTCTATGACATGCTCGACCGGTGGCGTTGCAGATAAGACCTTGAGGGTGTTTCAGCCAAGTTTTTTAAGGCTCCAGTCAAAGACTAGTGACAAGTCACAGCCTCCTTGTGAGCTCATCTGGCGGATTATTATCAGGAGGTTATTGGCTATTGATTTCTGCGACAGCATTGCCAAGATCAGGTCGAGGGAGAGGAGAGGGAGCGAGAAAGAGAGAGGAGAGAGGAAGAAGCAGAGGTGCACCCACACCCAGACCCTGCCAAGCCAAAAGCCCACCCCTCAGGACTCAAAAGGCATAAGAGCTCACGTAAGCAGCCAGCGAGTAGAAATCTTAGAGGCAGCGTTAGAGTTTCACAAGGGCCACGTGGAGGACACGTGTCCCAGTGCTCCTCAGGTTTTGCAGTGCAACAGAGATCGAGATCATGCTGAAGGGCAAGACGGCGGACGCTCAAGAAATGGAATTCGCGAAGGTGGGAGAGCGCCTGAGCGCCTCTCCCTCTTTCTTTAGACTCGCAGAGATCTTCGCATATCAGTTCGCATCCGTTCGCGCCCTCCGCCGAGCCCAGCGCAGGAGAGTTTGGGGAATTTGAAGGAGGACGTGGCGAAGGATCGGAGCAAGGCGAGGGCCTGAGCGAGGGCGCCGCTTTTGTCGCAGCTGGGAAGACATCATATATGTAATTACTCATATCCTGACAAAAAAACTGTACTCCTGTGGTGCAGGGCTCGAGGCAGCATTCCGGAAGTCTTGGAACGGGTTCAACGCAGGAGGGCTGTACACATAGGCTTCACCCTGCCCAAAGGGAAACGCGAGAATCGCGGCCTGTCCGCTGGAGCCTACAGTTTTCTACAGACTTCGCCTGGTACTGCCGACTGTCAGTGTTGAAAACCACTTCACCCGATCAGAGGCACAGGAATGGTTTGATGGGGAGAAGAAGCTCAAGGGCACCGGCCATGGCCTCAGCACGGAGACCCCAAGGCCCCCAAACTCTGGCGGACATCTTACCAAGGGAAGAAGCTGCTCTTCTTCAAGGGCTCCTGAACCCTGTAAAAGGACTAGAAGGACTGTAGTCCTACGGCCCTACAAAAAGGTTAGGAAAGGCGCTGCCCAGTTTGTTAGCAGGCAGTGCCGGTTCAGGACAGTTCGGGTGTGCGTGCGGTCCGCAGCTACAACCCGGGCAGTTCCAAGGGCTGCTTCAACAGGACAGTCCTGCCCTCCTGCAGCTTTGTCTGCTGGGCATGCCAGCAGGTACTCGCAACAGGCTTGCACAATGTGACATGACTTGGTGATAAGCTTGCAGAGCTATAACCTGAGCAACACAATTTCAGTGGAAGTTTGAAGAAGCTAGTCAAATAGTAGAACTTTTTACATTGTTACATCATCGCGTATACTAGCTAGTTTCAATGATAGTGTAGGTCTCAATGCACGACCGGCCCTGTTATGATATTTGATGATCTAAGCGGATAGTTGAAATTGTTTTTTGACGAACTATGAGACTATATAGTTCCCGAGCATGATCTGATGCTTCAGGCATCCAGCGGTCATCGAAGCCAACTACAGACATACTATGAGCCACAAATTCAGTTAAATTGAATAAGACCAGCACTGCCCATAGTTGCACCACATTTCAACAGGATGGATTGCTTTCCGATAGAACGTTCTAGGGTGTCTTGAGCTATACTTGGGATGTAGTGGGCGACGGCGGTACAACACAAGAAACATAGGCGCCCCCCCCCCCCCCTTTGCGCCGCTCTCTCGCCCTCTCTCTCTCTCTCTCTCTCTCTCTCTCTCTCTCTCTCTCCCTCCCTCTCCCTCCCTCTCTGTCTCTCTCTCTCTCTCTCTCTCGTTCTTTGTGGTTCGCTTGGTGGTTCGGAATCGAGGCCAAGCTTTTTTGGTCATGACCAAGTCCACGGGCAAGGACTGGGCTCTGATTCCGAGGGGATCAGGTTTCCCTTATCCTTCAGGTTCAGACCCTGTGCCCTGAAACCATCCTGTGAGGTATGATATGTTTCATTGCCAAAACACTTCCGATCGACTTTAGGGATGACCTCTAGTATTAGCTTTCGCCGCGACGTATAGTCATCTAGTCTAACGCAAGAAATAGTCTGCCCGCACAGACCAGCTCAAATTGTCAATCCGACGATCACAAAACTGAGTTAAGAGGTTTAAGGGTTCGGTTTTTGGGCACAAACACTCAAAAGACCGAGAAGTCTCAGCAGGCAGACGTGATCCGTCCTGAAGGATGCCATCATGCAAGCCTACCGTGCCAAAGAGTCCCTCTTCACCTATCAGCAGAAGCCGATTCAGGCTGCCGCTGGGGTCTACCCTAAACCTTAGAGCCTGAAGCTGTATAAGTGACTATAAGGGTTATATTAGGGTCCTATTACATTCCTTTTATACCACTATTACAGGGTGGGGGCAGCTTCTAATGTATAAGCCCTTCGAGCAGAAGCTGCCGCAATTTTTTCTGCACCAGGTTGGCGAAGTGAATTCCGAACCGCCGGATATCTGCTGGGAGAATCTGGGAATCGCTGATGCGGCCATCGCGAGCAACGAGTGGACCGCGGGCTGCGCAAAGGGGGTTTAGGGTCATTGAGTGTGATGCAATTCTTGCAAGGCCATTCTGCCAGGAAAGCATGGCTAGTGTTCCCACCTTTCTCACTTGCTTAGTCGTCGTGCTGAACCATGTGATTTGCATGTTCTGCCCAAAGGTGCGGCGAACCGAGACTTGATATTCCATGTGAAAATGACTCTTGCGCCTGAGGAAAGCAGTGGGACAGGCACGACATACTGGGCTGGGAATTCTGATCGAGCCCCCCGGGTTGGAGGAATCGGGTTGACCTTTCATTTTGACGACGCCTTGTGGCAAAATGGTTCGCTCTGTTTGTTGCCCAGAACCGGGTGGTTGTCGCCCGAGTTCTCACTGCATGGCGTTGCCCAAAGCGGGGGGGGGTTCTCGTGCGTGCAGGTTTCTGTTCAGGTTGTTTCCAAGACAGGACATGAAGTTGGACACCTGTGTCAAGCCCAATTACTGGCATCACATCTTCTGGAATTTGTAGAATTTCGCGGTATGTTGCTTCAGACCTTACACCAGAAATCAGGGCCGTCAACAAGACGACGAGCACAAAGCAGACAAATGCCTGAGAATAAGATGCTGTCAACCTTCTTACAAGGATTTCGCGCTGCCAGCCTTTGTGGCATGCTGTTTCGTGCAAATGAACATTGTGCCAAAATCAGATGCAGGTGCTGCAAATGTTCATTTTCATCAACGTCTTGACGATGGGGTTCAACCTGCCGCTGGGTACAGAAAGGCCAGTGGCCCTTTTGCGGGTGCACGTGAGGATCTTCAGCGCAACGGGTCCGGGCTGGCGAGTACTTATTGGAAGAAGGGGTCTGCGCACCTAAGCGCACCTAAGTGTGAGTTTTTCAGAGGCAAAGTCCGGAAGTTCCTTGTGATCCTGTTGGGGAGCTGCCGTGCTTGCATGTTCGAATCGAGGCCATGGCTTTCATTGCTCATGGTTGCCTTGCCCTCGCATAAAGAATTCTGAAAGCTTGTCGACAGCTTGTTCAGCATGAAGGCATCTTAAACAACTCGGCTGAGGTATGTGGTCATGCCTTACTTGGCAGCGGGCAGCAATGCTAGCGGGCCGCTGATGACGCCAAGCTGACATAGCACTGCTTGATGTTGAAGTTGTGCGAGCTACGCTGTGTCCAGGACCGTCAATGGCATCATCATGGGCATCATCAACGGTCAGTTGGGTGGTGGCTTTGACCAGGTTGAATTCGTTCACTTCTCCGCGAGTTGATGATCCAGGGCCTAGGATAAGCTGCTCTACTTCGGATGCGTTGTGATGCATTCTTAATTCCATCATCCCACACAGAGGCATGGTCAGGCACAGGCCGCTGGTGCGCACTTCCCGCGGTCTAGGTCCTGGGTCCTAGGCCTGACTTGAAGGCGTTGTGGTCGGACATGTGACTGGCATGCGGCATGCGCATTGTTGGAGAAGCCTGAACCGTTGAACGAAGATGATGGACGGGCACATCGTAGGAGTAGGCTTGCTGCTCCGGGCACGAAAGGAAGACCCGCTGTTCGGTCGGGCGCTATGAGCTCTAGCCGGGGAAAAGCCTGCAGCTTCAAGCACCAGACCGTGAAGCCGGAAATGGCAGTCCAGCTAAGGTAAAGTCTGGAATTCTGCATGGGGAGTGGGATACCATCGCAAGGCCACACCCAGGGTTCTAGCCAGTCAGTTCGGTTCTGGCTTACGCCCGGTTCATGCTGAAGACCGTATAGTTGTATCCAGCGCTGTGTCTCTTGGGTTGTCTAAAGTCGAGAGACTTCGCGCCCTGTGCTGCCCACCGCGAGAGTCAAGCGGGCAACAGAAACTACCGCCTTCAGAGTGCGTTCTCTGCAGGATAGAGCTGATGTCTGGCTGTTCAATGTGAATTTCGCCATTACCCTCTGCAACTCGGCCGACATCCTGGCAGAACACGAAGAAAGGGCTTCAGGACGTTCGGAGATCCGATTGAAAGGATTCATGCAGGTTTCGTATCGTTCTCAAATGGTCACTATCATCAATGAGGATTGAAACAAAGATTCTCCTTCTTTCGAGGGTTTATGGAGGAGTGTTCCCCTTCCGCCCTGCTACGATGGGTACTGTCATGCTGCAGTGCGGCAATTGACTCGGCTGAGGTTCGGGAGTGGGTGTCTGTCTGTCTGTGTGTGTGTGGCATTGCGCCTGCAGGCAACACGTTCATCAGCTTGTTCATGACCATCTATGCAGTGAGTCCCGGATGAATTCAGAATCAAGACCTTCCTCCGTAGCGCGAGAGCCAGACCTAAAACTGGACAGCCAATGCCATGAACCGCCGTCTTCTGGACCAGCGCTCCTTCGATTCAAATGCTTGCAAGCTACATAGACTTTCCTTGGCAACTTCTCATCGGGATCCGATTGCCGAGTGGTGGCAGCAGGTCATCTCGCTAGTTTGGGATGCTGCAGGCTGCTGAGTTCTTTTTACTCCCATGCCGCCCATGATGCCGTGTTGCTCGCAGGATAGCGACGGATCCGGACCGGGCCTTTCCATTTCGGAACTCCAGGGGCTGAGCCCACCAATGGGTGCAATACAGTAGCTATCTCTCTCTCTGTCTCTCTCTCTCTCTCTCTCTCTCTCCCCGGCTGCCTTCCTTGGATGTGGCCGCTTACGATCTATCGACCAAGACCGGGAACGGAGGGTGGAGTTGTCACAGTGGATTCCTGCTTGAATGCACATACCTAGAGGCACAGGGAGTCAACACATGCAGACTTGGGCCGTTTTTCTCCGGCAGTTCACGTGGAAAGCTCGAAACCTTCGCAGGAGGTGGCTGCAGAGGGCGTGGGGATGTTCTTCAAAGAGTTGTCGAGCCTTGACTCCGACGATTAGGTCCAGTGGGGCGTTCATTCGCGTGCTGTTTCTGGTCTGGTGGACAATGGATGAATCACAGCCAGGTAGCTTGCCCCTCTGCGAGAGGTGCAGAGCTGTGATAGTGCCACTCAGGACTACGACAGTCGGTCTGGAGTCGACAGTAGGACACACCTTGCATCTTGGCGAGACGAGGGTTCTTCTGCTTTAAGAGCAAAGCCTGGCTGATAAGCCTGAGAAGCTTGGGGGGCAGGTCGTTGTTCCGTGGAAGCCCAGGTTTATGATGCTGATTCCTGGCCAGCTTTTCGTGAACCCCTTGAGCCTTGGCATGCAGAAACTTGGCCGGCAATCGTTGGTGTTGCTCTGCTACGCAAATGGCTGCAGGATGGGTTACCTCCAGGGGAACATTGTCCCGTTTCTGCAAGCCAACCTTGTCGCCAAGGTGCACAGCGCGTAGAACACAAGCTAAGTGTTTACCGGGCCGAAAGGCACTGTTCCTAATCCGGTGTGAAGACTCAGGCAAAAGGAAAATTGCAGACAGGAGGTTTTCGCGGGCCCAAAGCACAGCCCCTCTCGGAGACCTTCGGATGACATATACCAGCCCATCAAACCCCCTGAAGTGAAACCTTGGCCGCAGATTATCTACGTCTGGAAATGCTTGCCAGAGAAGCTCTTGTTCCTTCTGAAGGCCGAAATAATCCTGTGATTTCGGCGCTTTTGCAGAGTCCAATAGGTTCCAGTCGGTTTTACGCTTCAGGGTTTGGTTTGGGATTTCGGGATCACAGGCTTCAGGGCGGGAAATCCGGCTTGTATCAAGGAGGAGCTGGCGTGATTCATTTCAGCACAGTGTGAACATGTCATGCCGTGTCAAGTTGCAAGGCATCGGTTGCTTGATCTGCGTCCTTTCCGTGGTTTTGCCGTCCTGCCTGACCCCTGCAAGTGAGTCGAAACCCTGAACCTCTAGTCCCCTATACCGTACCCTACCCATACGCCCCATAGTACTGTAGTTCCTTTTGGGGTTCCTATTTAGAGTCCCATAAGGCAGTCCCAAAAACGGAACTACTATGGGGCCCTAGAAAGGCCTTAGAACACCCCCTACTGTTGATGATGATATATATATATATATATATGTATATATCCTGCATAACCCACAATAAGGAAAATACCATTATTCCCATAGTTTAGGGTCCTTAAGGTACTGCAGGATTTATATCATCAACCCTGCCTCCGGACCCCGGAGGCGCTCTTACCATGGTCCCCAGACAATGTGGACAAGCTACTCGGCTCGGAAAGGGCTTAGAGACAAGGGGGCTCTTACTTCTTTTTTTTTTGGGGGGGGGAGGGGGGGGCTCATATTCATGTGATGAGGTAGGCTTTTGGATTAAAAGAATAAGAAGGATATGAGAAGAGTTGTCGAAGGGGTTTGCGAAGATTTCAGTCAAGTGCGATTTTTTGTTTGGGGGGCTTCTGATGAGTTCAGGATTTGACGAGATGCTCTGATTCCTTTGTCTTTTGCGATCTATCATATCGTCTCGCTTCCTTTGGCACTTCCGGTTTTTCTCAGAAGGTATGAGCGAAGAAACGCAGAGAATGGCATGGTCGCTGGACAGCTGCTTGATTGAACGTAAGCTTAAGCTGGTGCACCAGATGCTTTATCCCAGGGCATAAGCCGGCCCATGCAAACTCGCTTGTGCTTGTGATTGTGGTAGTGTCGAAGAGCTGGCCCGTGTGGCGTGCTGGGGACGTTTACACAAAAGAGATTGAGCAGCTGGAGACATGGTCAGGGCCGCTTTCCGGGGAGTTCTGACGGCATGGCAGAGTCTGCCAGCCCAAGCCTACTGCGTTGAACGGTACACGCACACGGTTTACATGTTCGATGTGCCTCCCAACCAGAGTGACCAAAGCGCATGGGCTTGCATGGGCCAAGGATAGGTTTGCCTTGGGACTACAGCAACCTGATACTGAATCCCTTGTCGCCTGGTGCTCAGCACCCCCGATCAGCCATTCTTGCACAGGCTGTTCAAGTCTGGCACGTACCGAGGGTCTTCTTCACTTTCTTCTTTGTTTCGACAAACAGCCGCACCCTCAAAGCTTCCAAAGCTAAGCTTGAAGATGCAAAAGTCTGGGCACGAAGGGTCTTAGAGTCTTGGGCTCTTTCCGAGGTTCGACCGAGAGTTCCTGCCTCAGCATCCCTCCATCAGGGCCACGACTTGCTCTTGCCATTGGCACGAGCATTTCTTGTGTGAACACCTACAGGCATAACCGTAACCGGCGCCGGAGGAACTACGCCTCCTGTTTTAGCTGCTAGTATGTACCATAGCACATGTTTTGCGGAGGTGGGGCGCAAGGCACGGGCGGCTTGATGGGCCTCTGAGTCTGTCGTGAGCATTGCATGCACAGCATCGTCGTAATCGTCAAGCTGCCATCAGACTGTCACTCAGAGTGCCAGCTGTTGCTGGTGAAGTCCATGGTCATAACTTCATGACGGTGATCGTCATCACCATCATACCAACTAGGGGTCGGCACAAGCTTGTCGCCGAAAGGGAGAATAAGCAGTGGCAGCCGTAGATCAGAAGCGCCAGGAGCGGGAAGACTGAGCATCTCCAGGGAAGAGCTTCGTCACGGGCAGCTCGATAGCTGGGTAGCTATGGATATCGGCGGCCGTCATCGGGACATGTGTCAGTGCAAAAACCCAGCTAGGAGGCCCCAAGCCTTGCCGGCACCTGCGTTGTCAATCAGTTCGGCGCTTCATTTGTCCCTTCCATTCGCGCTCGGAGTGTCCTGAGCTCTTTGGAACATATATGGGTGGACGAGATGAGGCGGCAAGCAGAGAGCAGGAGAGAGACACGAAGTCAGTGCCGCACCAAGCAGCATCTCGAGTCGAAAGCTCACACATCAAGGTGCGTACCTGGTGGCCTGGGCGGTGTTCTTCTTTATGTACAGCCGCTTCATGCACCTTCGGGTACAGTCAGCCCAGCCAGCATGTCGTTGTGCTTTAACTTCTGGCCTGTTCTGCTGGGCCTCGGACATTTGGAGAGTCGCACGACAACATTGATTTAACATCTGGCAAGGAATCACGTTTGTTCCTGAAGTTGCTGGCGGCAAAGATGGACGGCTTCTGATGGTCATTCATTGATGCTTGTGATCTCACATCCACAGGCGAATAAAAATCAAGTATAGATTCGACATACTTAGCAAACGATGCACATACAAGCATAAGAAGGAGCACGGAGAGTAGACATGCATGCATTCTTACATGCATGCATACATACATCTGTTAACACCTGCACACAAAACAGCGCGCACACGCGCACACACATAAACATGATATGTACAATCATCTTATAAGCTAACTTGCACATACAGATATACCATGTATATATGTATGTATGTATGTATGTATGTATGTATGTGTGTACATGTATCTCTACACATCCATACATGCATGTGTGAGCATTTATTCGTACATGTATGTATGCATGAATTGCATGAAACGTGTGTACTGTATGTGATGTGTGTTATGCATGTAATGTATGTAATAGGTGTGCTGTGTTCAAGGTGTTGTATGTATGCACGCATGTTTACATGTGTATGTCGTGTATGGGTAGGTGTACACATGGTTCAAAACATGCATAGGCAGGTCTGCATGTACGTATGTTACTGTATGTACGCATTCATGCAAGCACCCGCACGCGCGCACACACACACACACACGCACGTGCATGCACCACCAAATACCACCACCACCACCACCACCGCCGCCGCCGCCGCCGCCGCCATCACCAACAGCCACCGCAACACCAATGCCAACGCCAAAGCCAACACCAGCAGCAGCACCAACAACAACACGCCCACAGATGCTCACGCAGAAAGCTGACACGCAGCCGTTCGCCGCCAGGTTGCCTTTCACAGCACCCACAAGTTGGACCGAAGCGTGTGGAGGACCCAGCAGAGGAAGCTAAGAGCCGATGCCATGAATGCCATGTCTTGTTTGGAGCAAGTTGCTATCAGAGCTACACAGGCCTCGCAGTTTTCTTGGTTGTCTCGGCTTCTGTCCATACTGGCAGTTACGGTTTGGATTGGTTCAATTTCTCATAATGTCAATGCCTGTAAGCGGTAGGAGATGAAGGTGCAATCCACTACGCATCCAGCGTCGCTGTTTTGACTCCAACATATTCTGATATCCGCACTTGCCCAAATGCATTTTACGCACTTGCATGGCTTTGCATGCGTGGCTTCGCATGTGCTTCTTGTGCCGCTGCCGAGGTGGATGGTTTGGGGGTGTGTGCCCCTAGCACTGATCGGCACCTGCGCCATGACCTGGGCTTTTCGTGCAGGCCCGTGGCTGAGCATTCCACGAGACTGGCAGCCTCACCACGCTATCCCACACTCCAAACAGAAAGCGAGAGATATAGCAGCAAAGCACTTGCGGATGACGCGGAATGCCCCCAAGATCTGATCGCGACAGCACGAGGCCTCGTGCTGAAGCACGCTCCGCTCTGGCAGAAGGTCGTCCTGATGCTGGTCACTTACGTCTGCGCCTCGGAAACCTCCGCTTCGGCCTCCGCTTCGGCCGCCGCCGGGCCTCCGACCGGTGACCGAGGCTCTGAGCTGCTTGGTCTGGGCCGGGGACCTGGTGTTTGCGTCCGCCATCGCAGAAGGATCACTCCGCACAGTCTCCGCACAGTTCTTGCTTTTCTCAGACCTCTTCCACTCAGATAATCCTCACGTGTTGAGCTGCCTCATGCTGGCATTTCTCAGACCTTGCTGCCCGACACATGCGGCAAGTGAACATAATCTGCACGTGCTTGCAATTCCTTGGTTCTTGCCAGCATCAGACTTTTAGAAGATGTCTCCAACTGCATCGGAGCACTCACTCCAGTCATGAGGCACAGAGGCCAAGCTGCTGTCGCCGTCAGGTCCTGTCCCTCCGGGCGCTGTACCCCTTGCTCAAGGAGGAGAGCCCTGATGCACGTGAAGGTCGCTCGATGAATCCAGCCTTCTTGAAACCTTTTCAAATTTGAGTTGCCCGGAGCGGCACGGCGGCACAATCTAAACGGCTTAAGCCTCGGAGCTGAGGGTGTCACTCCGACCACCCTAGACTCTAAGGAGATGGTTTCAGATAAACGACGGCTGAAATGTCGTGTCGGATCCCATGCGGTCGTACACATACGACACATGCATGCGCACGGGATTGTTCAGCTTGAAATCACCGCGGAGACGGGTTGAGCTCAAAATCGCAGCTGCCGAGCCATACTGAGCTGTCTGAGGTGACTTTACCGAATGCAAGCGGGAGTGGATCTTCTCATGGTTCAACTGCAACCCGGTCTTTACACTGCCACTCGTCTTGAGACCCTTAAGCAGTGTCCTCTTTGGTGCTCCGCTCCGCTCCGCTCCGCACCGCACCGCTCAGGAAGTGCCTCTACTATCTTCCCAAGTTTCTTCAGGACAGCGAATTGGGGAAGGCGGGGCCGCCCGCACTCTCCTCCCAAAGATTCAGGCGCCGAAATGTGTGGATTGTGACATCACCTGCAGGTGAAGGAGAAGCTCCTGAAGAAGAAAGACGTCTGGGGTCATCCAATTGCTTGCGGCGACGACGAGGACGTTGTGAGGTATTTCAAGCGCGGTTCTCAGACGGCCCTGATGAACGGGCCAATCTGCATCCTCAACATGCTGACGTGCTGCTCCGTGTTGCCTGTTGGCGGATGCGCGCATTCAGAAATCATGGCTATCGACATACGAGCAGAGCCAGATTCGGGAAGCATACACTAGCATCATCTTGGCACCCAGAAAGCCGCAAAGCAAGCCTGAACTTATGCCTGGCGGTAGAATAGTTGTTGTCAGCCGCATGAGCTGCGATAGAAGTGAAGACCCACGAAGACTGCTGCATTTGTTACAGAGCAGTTATTTAGCAAATCAGGGATGGCAGATGTTTGATTCGGTGAACTGTATCGAAATCTCGTTCAAATTTGAAGTGCTTCTGGGCAGGCCTGGCAAAGAGTTCCTGCACTTTTCGCCGGAGAAGCAAAAGAGTATCCGCGACAGCTGGCATGATGTGAGCGATAGTCTATTTTTTGAGTTTTGGGAGAACATAGCGCTGTCTTGACGAGTGGTACAGGAAACCAGACAGGGATCATGTAAAGTCGCCTGTTAGGGGTCGGCATAAAGGAGCCATGCTGTCTTAGAGATTTGTTCGTAATGTTGACAGTCGCCCAAGCATGTTTTCCGCAGCGCGCTCTCAGGTAACAGGCTGGGCTGCGTCTTAAGTTTCAGCTATCAGGTCGGAAAGGGTCAACTTCTGACACGTTCGTTCGAGATTTCGCTTCGAAGTGAAAAACGGACCTCATGTATTTCGGAATGAGCCAGGATGATTTGTTGCGCAGTCTTGGCGGAAATTGCAGCGTGCGGATTGCAAGGAGGGAGACTTCCAAGACTGGTTGGAGTTCGAGACCTACCTGGCCAATGCCTTGGACTGTCCGGTATCACTTCGGTGAATGGATCTCAGAAGACGTGCTCATGAGCTCATGGGCTCTCGAGATGATATGATTGCCTGCGGACATCGTCCGTACGACTAGGCCTCTGCTGCCTGAAGCTCCCAGATTTAACCTGGCTCAGGCACACATCAACCGTTTTGCAGAGCAAGTCCGACAAAACAAGGTGAATTCCGGTGCCTTGCCTGCAGATACTGTCATTCGCTGGTTTGGGGCTTGGAGTCTTCTTTTCTTGGCCAAGTGCATTGCCTTTTTGCCGAAGCCGTTGTGCAGACATGTCCCGTCAAGTCATGCTGGCGCCAAGAAGCAGCACCAGGAGATTTCTATGAGAAGCTCGAGGATTTCTTGCCCAACTTCGACGACGCCTTCTGATCTGTTTGCTGGTCATTGCCGGCGGTCCTGGCAGACTTGCAGATGGCAGCTAGCATAGCTGGCATAGCTGGCATAGCCTGAGTTGCGATACTCGTAGTAGGTAGCAGCCACTGACGAAGCTCGATGGCTGGACTCGTTGGCACAGGGCTCGCTTGGTTTTTAACATGCTCATTCTGACCTGGGGGATCATATACGGGCTATTTTGGACATGGGGGGAACGTGGTTATAACGTACCCTGCCGACGTGCGGATGACTTTCCGCCATGGTTGCGCGATGACATTGTGCTTGGTCGCAGTGCACCAGCTTCTGTCGATTGAAGCCCTCTTAGCTCTTAACTCTTTATTACCGGCGCACCATGCTGCATGGCTCCTTGGTGGCGCCAAAGGGTGTCTGGAGCTTGAGGAGTCGACAGCTAGGCTAGGCTGTCTTATTTCCTGCGTTTCGGTGCTCCGTTAGCTGTAAATACGCTGCTCAACGTGTAGCCGGCAGGCAAGTAGACACTGCCCTTCCTGCACCAAAGAGCCATTTAGGCTTGATACCTCCTCTCCAGGCCAAGCGTGGCCGCAAAAAGAAGGCCATGAGGGTTTCGAAGCATTTGCTCCAGTTCCAAGCAGTCGCCTCTTGGGTATCGAAACCTCTTGCCTGCAGATCTGGCAGAGAGTCGCAGAATGTCACAGACAGAACATTTGAGACCACTGGGGCCTCGGCTCTTGCCCGTGGGCTCAGCTCAGGGTGCAGCCGCTACATGCTCATGTTGGAGCCGAATTACCTGGGTTAAGTCTGAGTCATGTCCATGAAAGCCTTCGCCTTCAACTATTCAGGTTCCACGGGTGACCGCAACAGAAGCCGCCTTGCAACGAAGGTGTAAGCCTTTGCCGACTGTGGCAAACATTTTACGTCTCATGCTGGCCCAAGCGTGTGCAAAGCTCAAGGTGCGAGCTGTAATACTGATTATTTTCAAAAACCCAAGGTCTTCAAACCCTAGAATTATCGATAAATGTTTAACTTCTGGGCTCTAAGACTAAGAGAGGTTCAGCTGGGGATAATACGGTTGACGCCCAAATCCAATACGGGCGAAGGTTTGGGGTCACACCTAATTTATTGGCGATAGTAGGGTTTTCGCGGTCTGTGGGTATTCCGTAGTGGTAGGAGTTCGAAGCGCTGGAGGCAATCTAATAGGGCGGGGGTCGGAAGCTTCCAGGCCTCAGAAATGTAGCGACAGTCCTCCCTGATCGTCCATAACCCTCAAATTTCCAAATGCCGACGTCGACAGCGTCTTCGTCGCTCAGCCAGAGGCTCGGCAAGCAAGGGTTTGGGGTGAAAGGGCTCAGGTTGAACGCCTAAAAATGGCGATAGGGCTCAGGCCGAACGCCTAAAAAACGGCGCTAGGCCGGGGGGGTTTACGCCTTCAGAAATGCACGAGGGGGTCGGGGTCAGTGCCCCTAGAAGGGCGGCAAGAGGCCCAAGCCTTACTTCCGAGATCTTCCGGGCGATCTTATCCCACCACGAGCCCAAAGTTATGGTGCAGAGGCCAGCACACGGCTTGGGTCTTTCCCGAAACAGTTCTTCAGAGAATCTGCGCACATGAACTCTGATTCTTATCTGAACTGCGGCTGCCAGATGGGAGAGCTTGCAGAGCAGTGTTGCGACCGGGGGCTTTGAGTGCTCAAGCAGTGCCAGAAGCTTCATTGTGCAACCGGGTTCCTGTCCGATTCATCCTTTCAGACCACAGATTTCAGCTAAAGGTATTGTGATTGGGCCGTGTCCAACCCATCGGACAGCATGGACAGTCTTCGTCCCTGAGGCCGCGTGCTTCAGACTGCCCTCCCTTGCGAACCGGCTGGCATCCACCACGCGCGACTGGCAAGACAAGGTACCCAGGTCTAGTTGCGCCGAAGTTAAACCCCACAAGAGAGCCACGGTAAAAGGGAGTCTACGGTGGAGGGCTTTCGACTCCACGCTGAATTTATCGCACTGCCGAGTATAACCGAGGTAAATTTCTGGTCGAACCGTAAGTGGCGAATTGGTGCGTAGGTCGACCTACCCGGGCATAAATCTCCGTAAAGCTGTTTTCTGTTTTTAGGGTGTGGCTGTTGATGTTCATAAGGTGGGGGTGGTAATTTTTATTTGGAGCATTAGGGCATATAGAGTTTGGCCCTTCGTGGCGTTCGGGTATGGGTCTCGCCATTCGTGGCGTTAGTTAAGTCAGGCTCGGGTTCTCGCCCTTCGTGGCGTTAGTTAGGCTCGGGTTCTCGCCCTTCGTGGCGTTAGTTAGGCTCGGGTTCTCGCCCTTCGTGGCGTTAGTTAAGTTAGGCTCGGGTTCTCGCCCTTCGTGGCGTTAGTCAGGCTTGAGGATAGGACTTCGTTGCTTGTGGGTTCATGGTTATAGACTACGAGCGTGAAGGTTCACATTGTAGGCAAAGTCCAACAAAAAACCCAAGCTATCTATAGCCCGGTAGTTAAGTGAGCCCAGATGGATGAAACATAAGATCCGTGAATCGCCCGGCAACCATAAATTTCGTAATTCCGGAACCTCAAGCGTAAATGTGCGTAAAGAACCGGTAGCGTAACATAGTGAAATCGGTGTTGCAGGTAGGGTTTAGGGATGAGGGTTTAGGTTTAGGGTTCCGAAAGTCCAGATGTTGGATACGCGTGGGGATGATGGATAGTGGCGACCTGGGTCTTGCTGGTTGAGTCTGTCTAGCCAACTCGACCAAGGGCTGCCTTGGCTAGTATCGTACCGATAGACAGTACAGTATACCAATGATACTATGCCATTCTACGATACTTGACAGAAGGTGCACCATAAATTGTGCTATATAGTGTACTGTTCCAATCGGCTAAAGCTACACCTTGGGGTGGACACGACAAGACTAGATTAAGTATGCGATAGTGCACTTTTACGATACTAGCTAAAGTGTCGGGAGGATCCGTACCTCATGTGCGTATTGCGTCGATGGCAGTATAGGACACCTTTTGCCTGATGATGCTTCATTTCTTTGGGTTGTGTTGTGAAGCTGCTGCCACCTGCCACCCCCAAAACGGCACCCCGTAATTATTGTTGTGCTGCAGGATTGCAGTCAAGCTCGAATGGCACTGCCCAGCGGAACAGTAACATGTGCTTGCCGTGATTGCTGCGCTCCCTCATTTTGCAGGTTTTGCAGCAATCGACCAAACTCGACATCTTTCTGGGCTCACCGGAGCTCCTGCTAGAAAGGGCCGCGCTGCCAGGCGCCAAGCCAAAGGGCCCCATTTGCTCATGGCGCTTTCGGACTCTGATATGGAAGATGGGAAGCTACGCAGGGACAGGCGGAAGCTTCTGGTTCCCGTTGTGTTTATCACGTATGTGATCACGAAAGCCCTGGATCGGGTTTTTATTTACCGAGTGCAAAAGTCCATGGCCCACTACAGCACGATCCTCATGAGCATCTACTGGCCTCCGGGCATTTGCTTGGCATGTTTTTGCTTTCTCTTCCTACTGAACGGAGCCAAGAGCCTCCTCGGATTGAGGGGGAGAGATGAGAAGAGAGCCTTTGAGCCACTGGGACTGGGCTGGTTCTCCCCCGTCAGCGAGTTTGCTTCAGCGCAGGGTCGTGTGCCACAGAAGTGGTTTGCCCTGATCGGCTTTCTGGATCAGATCAATGCGACTTTCTCGGCGCCCCCGTCAGTATACATCCCAGTGGTCTTGCAGACGCCTCTGAATAATCTAGTGGTTGGTTGGGTGATGCTCATTTCCTTCGTTTATCTGAAGATGTCATTCAGGGCGGTCCACTACGCAGGTGTGGTTCTGATTCTGTGCTCTTGCGTTGTTGGTGAGCTGGTTGAGCTACAGGGACCACCCGATGTGGTTTGCAATGGCCTTGACACTGCCAGAGAGATTTTCGAAGATCACAGCTTGCCAATTCCTCAGCAGGCAAGATGGACCGTGGGCAATGCCACTGAAAAGTGTGTGCGAGGTTTGCCCCCATATAAGGGTGCCGATGGGCGAAGCATTTATGTGCCTTTTGGCACCGTAGCCTCGATGTATCTGCTCTTCATTGGCACCGTGATTCCCTACGCCTTCGTGTACGTGTACAAGCAGAAGAAGCTAAAACAAGTGAACTTGGATGTGGCCTGGGCCTTTTTCTGGCAGAGCGCTTGGCAGGTTCTCTGGGGCCTCTTCTTCATCCCGGCGTGCTGGATCCCATGGCCCACGCCCAGTGGCCGCAACGAGGCCTCATTCTCCACCTTCGGCAAGGACCTTGCCGACTCATGGACTTGCTTCATGGGCCGCAACCCGAATTCAAAGATCACTTCCTGCTCTGCGGAGCCCGCTTGGGCTTGGTTTAGCATCTACCTGCTCTTCAATGTGTTCTTCAACCTTTGCCTCATGTGGCTTATCAAGCGCATGTCCAGCACTTGGGCCGCTGTCGGTGCAATCCTTTGCGGGAACCTTGGTGGCTTCTTCAGCCAATTTGAGCTCTTTGGCGGCAAGTCAGCGCAGCCGCTCTCAATGGAGCAGTGGATGGCTCTCATCCTTTCTTCAATTGCAATGTGGGTTTACAACATCGAGGACAGCTGGCCGAACCCCGATGTTCGTGTCAGCGGCTCTGTAGCGTCGTGGTGCCATTTCTAGGCGGGATCACTCAGTAACAACCCTCCCCCAGGCAGGTCGGTTCTAAGCCAGTTTTTTGGCGGCCCTCTATTGGGAAGGACGTGTTTCACGTTTCCCTAAAAAGGTACAGTGGCTGCAGTTTGAGGGTTATGAGTTATGAGCTCTAAACTAAGGGGAGGCTGCAGTTCCACGCTTTTGCACTCGGACCTCCCCTAGACAACCGACGTTGCTTCAGGTTTTTTTTGATTTCGAGGCTAAACTGGCGGAGGGCTGCCATTGAAGGTTTTTGAGCTCTAAATGTAATATTTTCCACGACGTGACAGCAGTGCAAGCATGGGCTCATGGACTGCAACCGGTCTGTCAAGGCTCCGAAAGCTCCTCGCACCTCCACAGATCTCTGCAGCTC